TCTCTCTCTCCCTCCTTCCTTTTCTCTCCATGTTTCCTGTTTTTGTTATTCAACAATTGAAAATTACTGCTCTCACATTCAACTCCATATTTGCGGTAAGTTGATATTACTAGTTATTATTCATCCTGAAACAAAAATCAACCAACCATATCATTCTTTCTTTTCAATGATTATTCATCCAAACTGTTGTTGCATCTTTTCTGTTTACAAAATGTAAATGTCATTGATTTGACAGCCATCAATCTATAGGTGAATTTATTTGTTTATTTTTACTCCTTCCTTACTTTTATTCTTCTCATATACTTTATTCAACTGAAAGTTTGAACACAAAAAAGAGTGAAATTTAAGAGTAATAATTAGTAATCGGTACGTATATTTTTAGTAATTAGTAATCGGTACGTATATTTTTAGTAATTAGTAATCGGTACGTATATTTTTAGTAATTAGTAATCGGTACGTTTACTACGTATATTTTAGCAGTTACAAGCTTGCCGCATAAATATATTAATTAGTAACTTCTTTCGAAGTTCATTTCTTTTTTTTATTCGAGCTGTTTAATTTTGAAAATAAATGAAAGCGTAGCTAATTTTAGATGTCCACACAAAGTACAGCCTTAGTTAGAAGAAGCATTAGAAATAGCTAACTAATCTTTGAATGATGTATAATTAACAAGACAACCAGTCAACATTGTCCCTTTATTTATTTGGTTATTTTTTTTCAACATTCATATCGTTCCAGTTCATTATTAAAGCGATTGTTGTAAACAATCATCCATAAATTTTTATTCATTTTTTCTTCGGATATTCTCACGAGCACATTCGTTGCAGTTGATTTCGGTCTTTTCATTATTCATTGCTGTATTCTCATGGTTCTCACCTCCGATCGCCGGAATTTCTCCCAATCCTGTTGCGGATCATCATCAGGTATGTTTGTAAACTTTTACGAATTTTAAAATATGAGAATTTGGTTTTTTGAATCTAACTATCTTCAACTATAAATTGCACACATTTCAGTATTCACTTGCTGTGTTTTTTGTTGGCGTAACGAGTATTTCAATATTTCTGTTATCAGTACTTGGAATTGTATCACTGGTATTGTGTAGCTCATTCTGTATGTTTCTGGTAAGCGTATTTCTAAGTTTACTGAATGCGGCTAGCATGGGCTGAGACTAATGAGAAGCCTGAAAAATTAATTTTCTTCTAGAAATTACGGGATAAGAGGAAACAAATAAAAAAATCATTAGTTATTAATATGTGTTTGATGGAAATGTTTGAATATTTGCGACTAAATTTTGTCCAATGCCTGAAGGCTAACATTTGCTGTGAACATCTGCGGTTACCATTTAGTATATGCTTAGTGTATTGGAATTTATCATTGAAATTTGGTTTTTGTAAAATCGAAAATCAGCATTTGATGATTTTGACATTGACGGTCTGACCAGTAAGTGTTAAACGGATGAGTTTGATCAAACACTATTTTAATTCTGCTAATGTTGATTTTATTCAACCTAAGCATATCTGCAGAACTCAAATGAGTGTTTCATTTTAGTACATAATGATGTTATTGGTACAAATATTTGTTCAGTTTAGTCTCTCAGCTTTCGCTTTTGCCAATCAACATAAGGTATATTTTCAACAAATTGTTATAAATAACACTAAAATAGGAGAACTTGCATTAAATTTTGAAATCGCTAATTAATTTCCCAACTGATAACTAATTAAATGGAATGGTTTGACTGATGGTTGTTGTCCTTACGTCTATTTTGAGAGTTGTATAATTGTGCTTAGCTTTAAAAAGAGATCCTGACTACTAGACTCTAACAAAAACTTACAAAACAATGCTGCATTTTTTTTTGAATATTTTAGTTTTTCTAAATATTTCAGATACATGCAACCATAATATCTCAATGGCGTTCTCGATCAGAGGAAAGCTTTAGTAATGATTGCGGTAGCGATGCTGTTTGCAGTAATCATATAGAGTTATTAAGTCAAGTTGAACGAATCATTTTCATATCACTGCTGATATTTTTTTCATTTCAGGTGAATCGTTATTTTCAAAGATAAAAAAGGTGTTTAATTTGTCTTCTCTTCTTTCTTTCCTTCCATTCTTGCTCTTTAATTTTGTGCTTAGAAAGATGGCTGTTAATGAGTGCATTGAGATGTGGAAAGTACATGACCTTCTGTTTACAAAGATTTGAAAAAAAAAAGTCCCTTTAATAAGATATATCCATAACTACTAATGGCTGCATTTAAATAGGATTGTTTGACAGCTGACACTGCGAGCTTTTTTTTAAGGACTACCATCAGTAGTCAAGATGAGTCAGGTGCTAATTGACCGAGTCACACTCATTCTAATTCTTAATAACGTAGCAACTGTTATGAAAATTTTTGCAGGTCATATTGTTATTCATCAGTTGTTGCTACTGTAATTATCTGTCAGAAAGAGAACAGTACGAAACGATTGAGAAGGATAACGCCGAAAGCAACTAATCTTTAATCAGTTATCATTATTTAACATTCTCTCCGATCCCTCACTATTTTAACACTTTGGATTCTTTTTTTTCTCAAGGAAAGAGGATAACTGTATATTGGGAAAAATGATAATCCCAACAGGAGTTTAGATGAAGAGCGGAGAAAGAAGAGGTTGAAAATTATAAATAATTATTACGATGTAATAATCAGTTGATTTGTTATGGCAAGTATTTCTCAAACACTACATCTTTCTTTTTAATAGGACTTTCTTCGAGGAATCGTCTCGATATAGAACCATTCATGTCATGTATAACGTATACCTGCTCACTATATATGTTTGAATATTTTTTCATTGAAATTTCGATCGCTATCATGTTTACACATAACGTCATTAATATCGGCATTTAACCATATACAAACGAATTTTATTTGAGAAATGAAAAATTAATCTTTTTTTCCCAAAAAATATGAAGTCTCTATCAAGCATAAAAAACAGCCGTATGCCACTCGATATATGTCCTGAGACATTAGTTGAACTTGCACTAAAATAAGTATAACTACCGTCAAGGTTGAAGTAGCATAACCTTATACCAGAAAAGTTGAATTTGGAATAAAGCTTGATGTCGGGTAGCATTTGAATGGAATTGTTTCTTATGGGAAGACACAACGCTCCTAAAACTTTTGGCAGTTATGTTGAGAAGCGCTGGTTTAGCGCTATGATTTCTCTTAATCGTTCGTTCATTTAGGCTGAAGTTTCGACCCTCTTTCTACTAGAAACAAATCTTTACAATCTTATTCAATTTGAAACCTCTAGTTTCCTCTAGTTTCAAATTGAATAAGGTCGTAAAGAGATCAAAGATTTTATATTTCATAAGTGTGACACTTTTGCAAGACGACTAATTATGTAGTTTAACTGTTCTTGAGAGAGCAAAAAATAAGTAAATTTGTTTTTAATAGAAATTTCAATAAAATAAAAAGAACAAGTAGTAGGAATACTGCAAAACTGACGAATACAAATGAAGCAATAGGATATCGAAGGCACATGGGGGGGGGGGAGGGATGTTGGACTAATAAATATGTTAATAATTTATTCATATCCAAGAATCAGATTTTGGTCCCGATGCTATTAAAGGACTTTAAAATCAGTGCAAATGGATCTGTGTGAAGGAGTGAGGATCATTTTCTGAAAAAACCATTTGCATTAATGAAGTCTACAACAAAAACTTCAGAATAACCAACAATAATTACAATTAGCATAGAAATTCATTAAGAAATAGAACTGTCAGTCAGTTAATTAATTAACATTGAGTAAAGTTCTTATTAAGTGACATATTGCTGATCAAAACATTTTCATCAATCTCATCATCAGCTGTTTCGGCATGCCATGTTTGTTCTAATTTTGCTTTCTAGAAGGAAAAATAAACATAAATGTGACGAAGACATATTACGATAGAAAACTTGACAGTAGTAGGAATGAAGTGAAGAAGGAAGGGAGAAAAAAGATTGGAGCACGAGAAAAATAACTCCTCAAAAATTAAAAATTAATCCAAAATGAATAATGATTTAAATGTTTTTGCAAACTTACTCTTTCTACAAAGCGAAAATATTTCCAACAGAACCATATGATTACAATACAGTAACAGTGTGACACGAAAAATATAGCACTTCCCATGCCAAGCATAAGAAGACGACCTGAAATGTTGAAAGTACCATAAGATTAAGCAAAGTCCAAAGTTTACTAACATTTCATTCACTTTTGCAAGGAATTATTCCATTCGAATACACGATTACATTGGTTAAGATCTTTTTTTTTCCTTTCCTTGTACTATTGATCTTAATTAGGGAAGCAAAGTGATGCGAGTTATCGGAAAGAAATGGACAGCTTAATGGTAGTTAGAAGTAAATGGCTTTAAAAGGCATGATTAATTATTTGCCTTAGAAATAATTAGCTAAATTATGGTAAAAAATAAGATTACCGCTTGGACAAGCTTCAATAAGAAAACAATGGAATTCAATAAAACTCGAAAAAGCGAATGTTAGTATCATCGTTGCGCCTAACAGAATCTAAATAATTAAATTTAAGAAATTCTAAAAAAAATAGAAAAAAAATTAGAAATAAGATAAAAATTCAAAAATATCTTATTCAAACTCCAATTATCTTCTATTTCATTCCAATTTTATTTTATTTATCTATAAGAAGTAACGCTTTTCATGAATACCCAAATTATTAACCTGAATAAATATCAGCGGTAACAAACAGAGTGATGATTCTTTCCACATTCCGTACTGTGCCAGTAATATCGCCAACAGTATTATTACACTGGCGGTAGTTGCATATGTCAAAGAGGATGAATCAGTCATAATTACATCAATGGTAAAATCAGCAATAGCTAATGAAAGTATGTAAAATACAGTTAACATTGTTGCTGATGTCTGAAAATCTTTATTAAATTCTAATTCTTAAAAATTTATTATTATAGTCGGTTTTTCTTTATATGACCAAAAAAGAATTTCTGGAACCAACTTGGACGTTATTGGTACCGATCATATTTAAATTAGACAAAAATGGATGATTGTCCTGGATGATATCCTATATTATCAAACAAGTATAAAGTGATTAAATTAGAAGTGACACAGTGATACTATCAACTTTTTGTCTGCGACATCTTATATTTAATTATTCAAGCTATAACATTTTAGCAAGAATATATTTAAAAATGAAGTATTGTCAGATTAAATTATAATTTGGTGACGCCTCATGTACCAAAAAAATAGCTTATTTAGCAAAAATTTTCGCTTTGAGTTCGATTTAGATGTCATTTCCAATGAAACAATACCTTGATGTGAACAGTACCAAAAAAAGTGTAACTATTAGCTAATTTATAGTTGGCCAAACGTTTGGCTGGATGATTATCGCCTTCCATATTGTTGTTTGGGGAGTTTGATGACCGTATATACTTTCGAATTTTGACCAGTGGATGAGTTTTGTGCAGTTTGCAAAATGGTCGGCTGAATTAAACACATTCATTAGAAAGAAACTTTTAATTTTCATAAAATTAAAAGTCAAAATAAAAGCAAATTCATTCGTTGATGAACGTTCGCTGATTTATTTTTGACACATTTGATGTTTTACATGTGATTCTAAATGTGATCAACCTGACTTACTCATATATCACTAATTTTAACTTTTTTTAGCAGACGCGATTAAGATGACAATTTATTCAGTCTTAGTTCGAACTGGAAAATACAATTAATCGTTATTTCAAATATACTTCATCTAAAGTATTTTATATGAGCTTTCCCTGAAATTTTTCATTTATCACTTGTTGCAAAATATGTTCGTATAAGTTGTTACATGTTTCTATTTTTTTGTGTTCAGTTGTTTATATTTTTATATTTGAAATATATTAATTGAATTGTCCCGACATTCATGTCATCCTGTTGTGATATTGATGTATATGACAAATTACATTATATGAGCTTCTGCTCGAAAATTTTTAGCTTATCTTAATTTAAAATCTGGAAATTTACAACATGTCATCATGAGTGTCCATCTGCGAGGTTACAATCGTGAGATCTTGCTTTGAAATTGCCATTATTCACAATAAATTACACCTGAAAATCTCATAATCAAAATATACATTTAAGGCAACGAATCCCAAACCGTTTCGAAGTCCCGTTTCGTTCCCTTTTATGACTGCTGCAAACTTAATCTGAAAAGTATGGAAAAAAAAACTTTGTGGGACAGAAATTCATAGAAAGCGTAATAATTGGATGAGAAGAAAAAAGGAAGAAAAGTGGATTTACAACCTTATAATAATATTATGAAATATCAACTTTCACAAATTAAAGTTTCAAAAGATCGAACAATGCAAATTCTTCTCAAAGAAAAAAAGAAAAATGATAATTATCTTGAGGCTAATTAATCAGGACACTATTTAGAAAGTAGTGCCAAATGACATGTTTTGCTCTAAATAATCTCTAAAGCGCCAAATAGGATTTCCAGAACTTTCGTTTTTCGCCAAAGATCTCTCAGTACTAAATTGAATGAATCTGGGATATACATAACATTAAAATTTTTACTACTTTAGATAGAATCTTCATCCAAACGTATCACAGAGTGAAATGATAAATTTTAATTTAGTTTACATCACTTATTAAACAATCTGCAGATCACTGCATTCATTGCTAACTTCAATCAAGTACCATACTACGACAATCTAAAGATCACTGGCTGTCAACATATTTCAATTCGATCCTATCACTACCAATTCTGTTACTTATAGGAAATTTTTTTGATATTCGTTATTAATAATTTAAATGCAAAGAAAAAAGTTTCTAATAACAATCGCACCAAAAGAATATTAAAAAAAATTCATATCCAAAAAAAAGTTTTTATTTCTAGTTTATATTTTACACGAGTTAAAAGGTTCATTAATGATGTTAGTAATGTAATTTGTTTCAACGATACTCATTGACCTGAAATAATCCATACATCCATCATTATTATTATTATACTTTTGGGAGAATATTTGTGATTCGCATTCATATGAATAATCGGGCATGATCAAACTTGACCATCAGTCAATCACAAATCCATCACTCTATCATTCCAGTCATTCATCACACAATCAACTTCACAGTGTATCGTCATTTGCTTGATTGGAGAATATCTTCGAAAAAGTTCTTTTACATTTGTGAAAATTAATTTTATCAAAAATTTCATTTTTTTTTTTTGAACGATTAATTTCTACACTTTGTTTTTGGCCAGTAACATAGTGTTCAGATAAATGAAAAGAGAAATGATTTCAGGAATGTCCGATTGTGGTATTAATAAATTTAAAAAGTAGAACGTCCACCCGTATTTCAGTTGTTTATTTTATCATTGATAACAAATTCGTGGAAATGTTTTAATTTGGTCAAGATATAATCCAGGACAAGAATTATTTGTCAACAATGAATATTTTAGATTGACTAGGAAATATGTATCGTATTGTGGTACTATTATCACTGATTATTTTTTCATCAATTAACACGACAATATCAGAAACTTTTTTCATGGAAAATAATACAGAGGATGATAATGAGACAAGGAAACTACAACCTTCATATGCAATGGCGGTTAGCTCATTATCACCGTCCACCGTCATTGATATTTCAGGAACAAATTATTTAGCAGAAAGCGAGTTAGTGCAAAATTTGCTTCATGGTTAGTATTTTTGATTTCTCCAATCAAGAAGAAATATAGCAGCGTTAAGTTATGCATCCAAGACCAGTTGTTTTTCTTTCTGACTAATTACCTGAAAACTTTTGTTATAAGTAGATTTACACAGGAAATGAGAAGGCTTCCTGAAAACTCAGGATGGATCTATTGTAGTCGAATAAAGCATGAAGCTTCAAGTTTAAATTAAAGTAACTTAACTATTGAATTGTGGAGGAAACTTCTACTTTCAGGTGCTTACATGAATGGTTTCGATCTATTTGATTTCTTAGAAAGTTTGCAGCCATCAGATTGCTTACAAGTTTGTCTGGATGAGGTTGCTAGTATGTTGGAGCAACCGTTTGCCGGACAACGTTCTGTTGATGAAGTTGGCAACATTTGTAGGTAACCGTTCCAATACTTGGATTACGGAACAATAACAGTGGTCATGGTGTGATATTTACCATCAATACAAGTTGCATATGACGAACGTGGGAAATAAGAATGTCATATATGATTGATTCTTGTCTTTCCTTTTTAAAAATTTTTAATACTGTTGCAGCCATTTCGATATATTCCAGCGATGCCTTCATCATAATACAACTTGCAAGGATGCACTACTTGACGTCACCACAACGGTCATCGATCACCTCTGTACCTTCAATAAGGATGGTTTGTTAAATTTTATTTTATTAATATTTCGTTTGAAAGACAGCTAACAATAGACTGGTTGTAAGATGTCTAGCATCCATCCGATCTATATCTATTGTTGCACCTTTTCCTAATTGCGCAATCGGGATTATGCTAAGGTCTTTCTGAAAGCTTTTTGGAGGAGATTCAAAGAAACTCCATGTACTTGATCCACCAATTAAAGTGTTACTGGTTTGGATCATTTGGCTTTAGCATATATGACGGAAACACTGCATTACTTCAAGTCTCTGAAATGGCATATTAACATGCTCTAACACAACTAGACCTTGTCATCCCATCCCATCGCAGTGTCCAGATCATATTTCATTGATGTAGTAAAAGTAAGTTTATATGCTACTGACAAGATTATCTGTTTTATAGCTTTTGGAGACATGTTTCCATGTCTATATGGCCATTCAGCGGTTATTTATTTCACTTGTGACAACCAATGCAGGATGGGAAAAATTCTTTCTAAAGCATCAAAGGAGAAGAAAGGTGATGTAGCAAAGATACTCGATGACGATGGAAATAACCTCCTCGAGATTCTCAATTTTTACGATTTGTGCAGGTGCTACGATTGACTCGTTTAAGACCATAACTCTCAAATTAAAATATTCGAATCTTCATGCTGAATAGTCGGTAATTTAATTTTATTTGACGATGATTTTAAGAATTGAAGTTGATATTTATAGCGCATCGACATGCTTCATCAATTGCACCCAGAATATGGCTGAGAAAGAATGTTCAATCGGTCACTCAACTTTATTGGTCAGTTTTACAGGGTTTTTATAATTATATTCAAATGTTTAGGGATTTGAGCGTCTTAAAGAAAATGATATTCCCTACAAGCTCATGGCCAACAACTAAAACGATAACGGTGCTGCAAAGTTTCAACATTGGAAAATGTTGGGTAATATAATTAGCCTAAAAAATATTATCTGATAGAATTATAAGTATCGAGGGATACTAATGTGGAGTGAAATAATAATGACGTTAAACGACGTTTGTGTAAATAAAATTGACATTGTTAGAAATTTTTCAATACTTCGTAGAATTTTGCACTATTTTACGTTGCAGCATAAGATAGTAGCAGCAGTGGTGAATCATACGATAAAAATGATCCCGAATTCAGAGATGAAATCAAGCGATGCTTATACTTTGCTCGTATCCTCTATCTTACCAAATGAATGTCAACGACTGAAGCCTCTTCCACAGGTTATCTTGAACATTTTAGCAAACCTATTAGTAGAAAATATCGAAAGCAAGCCTAATTTTTGTATTTCAGGATGTGACACTTACTACGCCGATGGCAGATTTTACCAATGATGTGGAATACGGGAGTGATAAGAGTGTTATGCAGCAAAAGGTAATTCTGGTAACTTCATTTCATCGTTATTAGATGTGCCATAAGTAACGATCTCTTTTTACAACAACGTCTTTCATGATCTTCATTTCAGTTTTTATTATTGGATAAATCCATTTCAGACCGTTAATTCTGCAGAAATCCAGGCAACCCTCAATACAAATTCGGCTTATGTACAAATATTACCATTGAATGGTCGCCAAATGAAGCTTCAGTGTCAGATGATTGATCTAGAAACTGGGCAAGAGAGTACCGTAGCGGATATCGCAACGTTAATGACCACTGCGGCAAGGGCAAGTTATGGATCTAAGTTTGCAGCTAGGCTTATAATTAAAATTAGTATTTCTTAATAAAAACTGTATATTGCAGAATATCTTCAATGAATTTGGCTTACGAAGTGTAGAGGATGAGCGGACCTTAGAGAATAACGTCAAGCATGGGAATAGATCGGGATTGCAGGATCGTAAGGTTATTAGTAGTAAAAGTAAGTGGTAATATAATTAAGTTCTGATTCGTTATAATGACCGAAGAGAACGATAACATTCATACAGTACAACATTCAACGATAATGTTCATATTTTATCGCAAATGTAGAAATAGTCAACAGATTTTGGTATCATATTTGATATTTTCCCATCACATGGATGCATTTCCTCAGCTTTATGTAAGCTAACTAGATCCTAGATATTATTGACTATAGAAAACCCGATTTGGATATCCAAAATCAGTTCGCCTCTCGCATTAAATTAATAAAATTATTTGCTAATTGACACCATAGGTGTCTTTGTGCAAAAAACACGACAAAATACGAGGAACTGAATTTCAGGTGAACTGTATGCAAGAGCATCGTCTGACCGCTTACTTCCTTTAGGTCTTCTCACACTTCTACTCATACTACTCTTCTAAACCTATTGATTTATTAGTATCACTGTTTGAATCTTTGCTGTGTGTTGTCCTAAATTCAGTGCCCTAACTATGTATGCATTCATTTGAATTGTACATAAATGTCAATATAACTGTCAACAGAACTCATTTAACTTAGTTAACTATTACCCTGTATGTCAAATGTGATTACCTCAGTATATTTGTTGTACGAAACGATGGTCAAAAGAACTATTTGCTGAAAATTCATTCAAGGATACTTCAATTAAAACATTACATGATCTTTGTCCTCGTCTACCTCAATTACACGAAGACCAACTAGTGCATTACTCTAAAAGGTACCCATTATAACTCTCCCAGCCTTTTCATATTAGATCTCTCCTCCCAATAAAACAAAAAATATGAGCTTCGAAAAATTCTCCTCGCAATAAATTTGAATGGCAATCCTTTGAATTGCTGAAAAGTAAGCTTGAACGATCCGTTTCCTTCCGACTTTTTCCAGACCGATGTTTGCTTCTTGCATTATGGGAAGCATAACACCCATTAGTTTGTAGGTAGGAGGTTGGTGAGGAGGGTTATGTAATATTTCCAAAGTTCTTTTTCATATTCTTAATTTAAGCCGCTCTGTCCATCAGTGAGCGACGTTAAAGACGATCACACGACATGATTATTCGTCATGGATGCATGGTGAAGAATGCCTTGCATAGACAAACTAAAGTAATATCATAACTCCAGGTAAAATTCTGGCTAGACAAGCGGAGTAGTTTCAGGTGTATGACTTGCGTGAAATATGTCAAGGCAGTATGTTCAGTCCGTGATGTCATAGGTAAAAGACACTGGAACCAAGTATCCATCCCGCTTGCATAGTTTAAACCGTTTTTAAATTTACCGATTAGGCGGAAACTCGCGAAATAAATGGTGACCCGGGCAAGTTAAAGGGTAAGCAAGTGGTTGGCATTGAGGCCTTCTGGTTGTTAAGTACTTCGCGTCTGTGGTTAATTGCATGACTTTACGCAAGATACGCTAGTTGTTTATCTTTTTCCTGTACTTGTTAAAATTACGGTGGAATTATGACGGATGAATTTGGAGGAAAGGAAACATTTATGCAAAAATATCTAGGAGAGAAGTAAATTAGACATACTGCAAAAGTTTAGATCACTGCTAGGCTATACAGACAATTAATAGTACTTCTAATTATTCATTACGAGATTACTGATTTCTTCCCGGGTTATAGTTTTGCCTCTCTCGTTTGAGTTATGATAAGTACCTAAAATGACCGAATATTTTCGTGAAAGCAAAGGATTGTAGAGAGTAGAATGGACATGCTATAATGGGAATGATTAATTTCGAAGTTGTCTTCGTAACTGACCATTTCCAAGACATCGCCTTCTTTTTAGCTCATGCTGTTCTACAATCTGTTTCTTGACCTTACCTAACTCCTTACCCATCCTTATTTGCCTTTTTTGTTCTTGGCTCATCATATGTCCAGAATTTTTGAAATTTGCTTAATTTGTTCCTTTGAATATGATCGCTAATCAACTAACGTGGTGTATCGATCATTCTTGTATTTTGTTTTTCCATTTCAGTGTCTCTATACTATAAATGACCTCGGGACCAGAAAATTATGACGAAGCTGTGATAGTTCTGGAAGATAGTAATGATAGTTTTATAGTGTCTGATGAACAAAGCACTCATCGGGTCGTATTAGAAAGCCATTCATTTATTGAAGCGGGAGCCGCAGCAGATGATGTAAGTAACTTTTTTATGTATTCTGGACTGTGAAAAGCAGAGTTAGGCTTCATCTTAATCATGGAAAGGCTCTGCATGGAGACCCGAATATTTTCATTATTTGGCCGACAAATTATATGTTCAGGATGTGCAAAGAAAAAAATCTCAAGGTAGTGTGGGTTGTCAAACAAAAGAGCAGTTAACATGTCGTATGCCGTAAACTTAATGAAAAGTAACACGCTTTCATTTTTTGGAATCGTAGATTGTTTTAGAATCGAAGACCCGAACAGCCACATTATCGAGCATCACGTGTCATCTGGAGTAGTGACGAAGAAGCCGACGACGATAATGTAAATAAGAAACGTCGCCGTAAACCTTCTCATAGTGATGGCAGTGGAGGTTAAATTTGTTTTGAATTCAAACTGCGATTGTTCATTGTATCAGCTCTAATGGTGATGATGAACTCAGTGATTCTATCTGTGAATCGACCTACAGGAAAAGATTTTTAGCTCGCAGAGCTTTTAGTTTAAGATCGAGTTTCTTAGGAAATCACTGGAAGTGGTCTATGCATGTATAGATATATATATATATATTGCAGAGATTGACGGTGATGAAACGAGTTGTTCAATTTGTTTTGAAGCGTATACAATTTCAGGTGGTCATAGGTAAGCTTCGGGGATTTTTTAAATATTAATGACGTTTATTAGAACATGCTATTTTTACTCAAGGAAAACTATTCTCACAGTTGCTAAGAATAGACGGTCATTCACACTAAATATTTAAATATTTAAGGGTAGTATGCTTGAAGTGTGGACATTTGTTCGGACAATCCTGTATTGAAAGATGGATTCGAACCGAAAAAGCTGCCAAATGTCCGCAGTGTAAGGCTAAAGCACGACTTACTGATATACGCCGCTTATATGTACGAGCTGTAAAGGTAGTTAACATTCTTCAGACATTTCTCCTTATTTGAACTTTTGAACTTTATGTTTTGATGGAGTTTGGAAGTTCATTTATTATAGAATGGGAAATGAACGAATGAATTTTAAGTATCAGTTTTACTTGTTTGATGTGCTCATTAAGATACCAGGAGGTTGTTTTTTTGCGCCTTTTGGGATCATTGGATATTAAGAGAATAAGTGGTACCCATGTGATAATCAAAAACGAAATTGCAGGCGCTTGACACAACGGAATTGGAATGTTTGAAAGAAGCGAATAACGCATACAAGGCTGAGAACGATAGTTTACGTCTGGAAAATCAGCGTCTAAAAGAAAAAATTGTAAAAGAAGGAAAATGTAATCCATACAAAGCTGAGATCGAAAGGCTAAACCTTGAAAATGCGCAGTTAAGGGCGAGAATAGCCCTTCAGGAGAAGCATGAAAACAAATCGCGGTAAGTTGTTATGTTTTCGTTTTTTTTTCCCCTGAATTTAGATTTGTGTTGTAATGAGAGTGATAGTTTCGATACTGGTTGAATTGAACTGTTGGTAATTAACTAGAAATAAGAGTATGTATTGCAACAAGTAGTTCATTCACTTTCCTTTGTTTATACTTTAATGATTTCTGAAGTCGTAAAAGTTAGTCGAGACACTATCTTTAAAATCGTTGAAAGGTTTACTGTGGCATAATTCATAGGTCACATTTTTTGGTCAAAATGAGGGAATTTGGGTGATTTTTTTATTCGTTTGATAAACAAATGACACTGATATGACACTGATAAACTTCAGATTAAAATGAATCATGGTGATTTTAGATCGACGATACCCCCTGCTGCTAAAGTGATGAAAGGTGCTTATTTTTCACTGCATGAGGGCCCGGTTATTCAGTTGTCGTTGGAACCAGGTTCTCGATCACTAGATGCGAATGGCGAATGTTTCGTGGTAGCTTGTAAAGTTAGGAACGATCTGTTTATGCCTTATGGATTGAAATTGGTTATTTATTACTTCATTTAAATAGTTTTTCATTTATTGTTAATGTGTTGACACAAACTTTCTCGGATTTTTTTCTTGCTGTCGCTCAATATTTTCACTGTTTACGCAATCAAGTCAATCCATCGAAGGAACTGATGGTTTTATGGATCAGTAACTCCTGTATTTGTTTATTTTCTTCACTACATATCTTGTCAACATCTTTCTGATATATAAGTTATAAACATGTGATATTGTTATTTTTGTCTAATTGCTGTGTTCAACTCCAGTTTATTTCATTGTTGCAGATCACAGCGGATGGTCGTGAAGATACGGTAATTCCAGTCCACAGCAGGAAACCTCGATGCTGTAGATTTTCACCTTTTAATCGTCAAATAGTACTGTCGACTGGTGAAGATAATACACTTTGTGTTACGAGGTTTGCTGATTACAGTGACTGGAATGAAAGAAGTAATTCGAAATTCTGAGTAGTCTTGAAGAAATGATCATACTGTTTTTGTTTTTCATACAGTATAGGTGAACATTAACGATTCCAGTGGTGAGGCAGAATGGTCTATATTTATGTGGCTTTATGATATCATTAGAATGCAGCACTTCCAAGGTGGAAGGTAGAGTACCAGTTATCAGTCATTGTCATAATTTAATTTTCAGCTTCGATGATCATCCGAGAGTCCAGCATCGTATTCCCATACCGGCTTCTGGTTGGTGTTGTTGCTGGTTGAGCGAGGATGATGTAGCAGTTGGTCTGATTAATGGTGAATTTCAAAAATCCATCTAAGCGAGTTGTTCCGCATGAACTTTATTACATCGCATGAGCCTCTTCTTGTCCATTCCTTTTTTGATTACTAAATGTAATATTAACTTTTTTTTGATTTCCTCATCTATTTCAGGTAGGGTTTTGAAATTCAGTCTCCACAATCCAGCAGTTGAGCCGTTTGATATAACTTGCCGCAGAGGACGTTTACCTATCATAAATTTGCAATTTTGCACAAGGCAGTCTTTACTTTTCGTTACATCGCTAAAAGAATGTGTACTTTATCATCATATGCAACCATATATCTTGGTATCTGATCAGGGTGAGTTTTTTTTTATTTTTTTAAAGACATGTTTATGGAATGTGATGGTAGCTTTTGGTGTTCAACTTCACATCAGTTTCAGGTTCTATAAATTCGTTTTGCTATGATCAGGAAAGTGGGAATGTGATGTTAACATTTGCTCCCAGTCAACGGCACGAAACAGTGACTCATATTTTGTATTCTTTGGACTTGGATGGCGAACACAAGGAACTACGTCATATTCATACCTACAGAAGTCTTTCAAAAAAACTCACACGTGTAATCAGAAGTGCATTTTGGACTACGCCTCATGGTCCACTTGCCGCTATTTATGATGAGGCTAATTCGCATGTGGTATGTAATACTTACAATTTTTTGTTGCCCACAATCTCCAGAAGGCGGGTTTTGGAGGAGAATTCATGACCTTTAAATTATTTTTATGTTTGAATCTTGTACATAGTGCTTTGTTCTAATTTTATGATTTTGTATTGTACGAATCAAAGGAAATCTAATTTTAAGGTTATTTATGACTGGATACGCAGATGTCCGACGGTGGTGAAACGTATTAACGATATGGTTGTTGATATCAGAGAGATTGTGTCGGGTGACATGCAACATTTTCAGTTGGGATGCTTAAGTGAAACAGCAGTTTATTTCCTCGATGCACGATGTTAAATTTCATTTCTGCTGAGAAATTCTTTTTTTTTTTGCTCATTTCTCATCAGCACTTTGTCGCAGTATGAATTAGGTTCCACTAAATCTGATAGTCCTGATTTGATTTGACGATTCCTTTCAGTAGCATTTGTATTCATAGATGACAGTGATATAATTAATATGCTAGGCTTCACTGCAAAATTAAATATAATACTGATCTTTCCGTTTGATTTCCGTTCGAGTATATCTTTATTTTTCAATTGCTTCCAGAACCTACATGGCACCACATTACGTTCCAGGAAATTTACATGTATCCTTCATCGATGATCATCTCTGATTGATCTATCACTTCTTACTATTGTCTTGAAGTTCCAACGAATATCAAATATTTTCATTATTTCTGTACATTTTTTGATTGAGATAAATTTCTATAGAAGCAAGTTTTTTTGTGTTTGTTTTATTTTGTTTTCACCCATATATGGGTGAAAACTTCTTTTTTATACAAATCCATATTTCCAACATCACTTTTATGTAAACTGTCATGTATTTTTTATCAGTGAATTTATGTTGATAAAATCTAAATACGATTCAATATCGAGAAAAGAGCGCGTTTAATACCATTTCAGGAGTGATTGTAAAACACCCTCTTAACAAGGGATTTGTTTTATGGACAACGTCTAATATGCCCTGTAAAGTTTTCGGGATTAAGTCTGTCATTAAATTACGCCATGCAGGATGTCACTAAAGCAGTATTGCTAAAGTAGTTCTCTTCACACACTCAAACTGTCACGATTGTTCTAGCGCTCAAATAACTGCGTGCATGCAATCATAATTAAGACGTATCATGGGAGATGCATAAAGTAGCACATTAGCGGAAAAGTAGCTAAAAGTAATTATCCTGCCGTCGACATTGTCCTATGGATGTCTCCAACAGTGGCATTATCGCGTATAGATATCCTAAAAGTGACTCATCTCGATTGTTTTACTCGACATATCCGTCAATTATGCAGGCTGACGATAAGTGATTTAAAAATGTGGATATTTGTTCTTAAACTTTTGGCGCTAATGCAAATTGAATAGGTCAAGTAAGCACGGTTAAGAGGGAAGATATCCATGTATGTTGTAATTGGACTAGGGTAATGCGCTTAGTCGATGATAGAAAAAGAAATGAGTTAGAAGTGGTGGTACTTTATCTGGAAAAGCTGCTTGCTTTTTTTTTTTTACATCCTTTGCTCGGTCTCCTCGGCAACAGGCGTCTTACTTCAATTGCTTTTGCACATAAAATTTTCACCTTTTACAGCTTTTTTTATATTTTCTTTTTATTGATAATGTCATGTTGAATTTTATCGCTTGTTTTTCAAGAAACAAATCAATCGTATGTTACTTTCTGATTCACTTCCTGAATTCTGATTCACTTCCCGAACTGTTAATTGCAAGAACTCTTCTTGATTCCGTTAATTTATGATCTCTGATGTATGATCGCTAAGTTTTAACATTGTTTGGCATTAATTTATCATTTCAGGAGCTTCATAGTAATTATTCGAATTGATATTATAGTTTATTGGAAAATTCAGTCAGAAAGTATCACCTAATGTGGTTAGAACGAATAAAGTGATAGTGCACTATGCAAATTGGAAATTAAAAACCAAAATAAAGGTTGGATTATCTTTTGGTGTCACAAACTTTTGGATGATTTTAACCTATTGCTGTTTTACTGATATAATAGTCATTATGCTTTACCCAATTGTTATGAGTGGTGAGACCTGAAGTTGTCATTGTTCTAACAAAAGTTTTTGAGTGGAACACATATCATGTAACTCTGATAAGGATTTTAGCATCTCGGAGAGTAGTATATCGTCAAATGAACATTCATCATGCTCTTGTTACTAGTAATATTTAAAAAGGATGTCAACTGAATCATTTTAGATCTTCCCATGACTACAGTTAAGTAACACATACACGACACTCAATGAAGATAGCCAGTTGATCATTTCTTTCCTCTCTCTGCTCCAAAAATAATACTACTTACTTGATGGGACAACTGAAGAGTAAAATTTTACACCAAGCTGGAGGAGAAGATATTGACAATCTGAAAGAGGATCCTGACGATCAGTGGTCTAATTTGTATCGTGAACGTAAAAAGAATCACCTTTACAAATGGGTTGGCATGCGCAGCGGCAAGTATTTTCAAATCGTTCACTCGATATTCCCTATCAATTTTCTCACTTTTGTACAATCCATTCGGATATTTCGTTGTAATGTGAGATGGTTCAGCTTGTATCATTTATTAGCTTATATTGTAAGCCTTGTTGAGGTGGAAGTTGAGGTGAAGTATGCTCAGTAACAGGAGCCTTGTTGTACTTCTGTGGTGATATCGATTTTGTAAAATTTCGAAGGATGTGATATAACATGATAAAGTGCGATCAGATGGTCACACTATGAGGTGTGCAACTTATAAGTGGCATTCTTAATTGAACAAATAATTAATTTTTTTGACAGTAAGAAATTCTTATTTAATCTTATGCTACCTAGGAAATTCTTCAGTTACAGGTGGCGAACTGTTAGCTGCTTTTGAGAAGGAGGGTGAAGACGGAGTTTTAAAATTCGCGAATGAAAAGCTTATTTCAATGATGTATGATGATGGTGCATCACCACAAATGATTCGTTTTACGGACTATGCAAAGTGGAAAAAGACAACCGTGCGTTTTTTCTTTTCTTTTTTTTTTTTAAATTATATTTTCAGTCATTTTCCAAAGGATAACTTTTTTCACATGACGATAGCAGAATATGGATCAGAATCGCCTAAAATCACTTAGTTTAACATGTTGAATGCTATGGACGTTGACGTACCGTCACATTCTATTAGTTGTACCTAAATCTTCAAATTCTATTTGTTGTACATAAATTTTCAATTCTGTTAGTTGTACATAAACCTTCAATACTTTTAAATATACATAAATCTTCAGATTCTGTTAGTTGTAGATAAGCTGTGCATAAACCTTCAGATTCTATCATTTGAACATAATAGATCCTATTAATTGCACGTAATTTTCAATTATGTTACCTACACATAAACTTTCAATTTTTTTAGCTGTACATAAACCTTCAGATTCTATCATTTGAACATAAACCTTCAATTTTACTAGTTGTAAACTTCAGACCCTATTAGTTTTACATTAACCTTCAATTTCACCAGTTGTACATGAATCTTCAGATTCTATTAGTTGTACATAAACCTTCAGATTCCATAAATTGTACATAAACTTTCAATTCTATTAGCTGCACATTGACCTTCAGATTCTACCAGTTGTACATAAATCTTCAGATTCTATTTGTTCTACATAAACTTTCAGATTCTATTAGTTGAACTGTTCCGCTTTTAAACAGTTACTGATTTGAACTATGTTTGGTTTCTTATCGATTTATTTGGAATTTTCATGCCGTTATGGTCTTTTCATTACTGTAAATCGAATCGCCTAAATACACTGTACACCAAAGATCTGTCTAAGTTTTGATAGTTTCTTCTTGGCTTTCGTTGATCCGTCCTGAATGCAGAGCATTATAGAATGTGCAGCTGGGTAAAACGGAATCAAACTCTGTCTGCCAATTTGGAAGCAAATTCCGCGAACATCTTGGTCAATGGAGATTGAACAAGCGTGGTGTGGAAGGTGAAACAATAATACACCTGTTGCTGAATCGTGAGGAGCCAATGTGTAGTGAAATTGCTAGAATTTTAATAACACGTTATCCAGGCCTTGCTAACGATATTTACCTCGGCGACGAAATGTTCGGTAAGAAGACAATAACAAATTTTTGAAAATAATTTCATTTCAAATTAGTATGTTCAACTATTTCCTTTTTGGCGTTACTAATTTTCAATTTAGAAACTTACAAACCATGTGGAAGGTTCTCTCTTCATCCGTCTTTTACGATTTTTGTGTCTTGTAAAGGTTTTCATACAATTAATATTTCGTCAGATCTAGCGCTAAAATATGAAGAAATTTGAACGACTTTACACTACTTTTATTACTTCTTATGAGGCTAATTCAACCATACAAAACATAAAAAGCGGATATTTTAGGTCAAAGTGCATTGCATCTAGCAATTGTTCATGATGATTATGAAACGGTTCATTTATTGCTGCAAAACTCGGCAGAAGTGAATGCCCGGGCTTGCGGGACATTTTTTCTACCTGAAAATCAGAAGACATCCCGCAGATCAACTGATTACCAAGGTATTTATTGTTTCAGTGTTCGTTCACTAAAAAAGAAAGTTTTTATACAATAATCCTCGAGTAGTACAAGTTCGATCTCGATCTTTATGTTTAACATTCGGGTTTCAGGATATGCGTATTATGGCGAATATCCGTTAGCATTTGCTGCTTGTTTCGGCAACAAAGATATCTATGATTTGCTAATACAATATGGTGCTGATCCGAATCTACAAGATATGTTCGGCAATACCATCTTACACATGTGTGTCATCAACTACAGCAATGTAAAATACATCTTCCAGCATTCACAGAAATCTTTATTTTGTGTTTCCTTGCGGTATCGATTAGCGTAACAACAAAGGGTTGACAGGTTGACAGACCGTAGAAGTCAATGAAACATTTCTTTAGTGTTATTTTGACGATATAGGAAAGTACTAATATTATCCTTTTATAGTCAATGTACAGTTATGCAGTGAGGCATTGGGCGAAACCCGCGGATCCAAACATTGTAAATGCAGCTGGTTTGACACCACTGACACTTGCGACAAAGCTTGGACGAAAGGATATCTTTGAAGAGATGCTGGAGTTGATGAAAGTCGTATGTACTTCCACGATTATACAGAACTAATGTTTGACTTCTCCAGTTTTGAATTGCCAATTTGGATATTTCAGGAATTTTGGAGATTTAGTGATATGACATGCAGCGCATATCCTCTTACAGCCTTAGACACTATTCGCCCCGATGGCTCAACAAGTTAGTATTTTGCTATCATCCATTTGATAAAATTTGTCATGCATTTATTTATTAACTTAAGTTAATTCGTTTGCGAAAAAAAGCGATGCAAACTTCATGTGGGACCAATTTTTGTTTAATTTGTCTGCTTATTTGGCTGTTAGGATTTGACTATGACCATATTACCTCAGTCG